GAAGCTACCTGAAATCACGCTCCACGGAGCAACCTTCTCAAGTGTGTGTGCGTGTGGGAGGCAAATGGCGGGGTGTACGTGTGGAGTTGGCGCCTCTAAACCAAGAATTTGATGGTTTTTTGAGGCGTTGATGTAGGGTTAGCCAGGTCTCGCTTTTACTTGGAATCTTAGAATGGATTTGGCCAGCAGACAGTCGATAAAGGCAAATATTATTGAATTTTATGTATAGTAATATTGTGATAATGGTTATATACATATAATTACGTAATGGGTGTGGTTTGCCAGATTGTAGCGACCTTGTGCGGCCTCTTGAGGTTTCGCTTCTCGTGTCCTGCTTGTTCAGAAGCAGCTACCTTCACTGCTTGTGGCCAAGTGCATATGCTGCCCGCTCAGTTAGTATTACCTTTGGTTCGGTGATTTATACAGCTAGATTCGCTAGATCATGAGTTTTCTGTGACCTTGAGCCAGCAAGTTCCTTTCCCTGTATTTTGTTCAGGACAGCATTGTGGCAACCCATAGACGTCCACCTGAACATCCGAAAGAATCAAGGCTTGATTTCTGCAGGACTGTTCAGCTTCAGCTGTGACACTGCGGCCCAGGATCAGAATACTAACTAGCCTCGGTCCAAGTGCTTCCTCTCAATTCTAGCTGTGAGGAAACCCAAGTCTAGTTGTGGCCGTCAGTGGCCGTTCATGCTCCACCCAAACCAAGACACAGTAAGCAGCAAATACGAAATACTTGCACAGAAAACATTTTGCAGCTTGAGATGCTCGCATGTTTGCTATGCGCAGGACATCTAGGCACAGCTTTTGCAAGGCTGATGCTTTGTCCTTCGCAGCTTTGTGGTCCTCAGCCGGGCTTGCGCGCGCCTTATTTAAGTCGAGAAAGCCACGCAATACAGTACTACCAAACAACACTTCAGTACACCTCATGTACTTGTACAATGTACTCAAGAAAGGAGGTTGGCCTGACACTACCCATCACCTGAGTCACCCCTGTACACGTGGGAGACAGGGTGTGTATTATATAGACACTTCATTTCCATTGGTGTGAGGTTGACCCTGGAACTCAAGCCAGTTTTCCCTGGCGGTCCGGGGGTACGGCCCTCGGCCAGCAGCCATCCAGTTTTTGATAAGACTGTCACTGCTGGTTCATGAAGCTGTAAGTCTTGGAGAAGAGGGATTTATGATTTATATATTTATTTGTAGAGGAGTAGTGTTTTCGGTTCCTTTCTCTTCCCCTTTCGCAGTCAGAGAGAGAGAGAGAGAGCGTCTTTAGCTGTCCTAGCTCTGAGGTTTCGGAGCTCCTGGATTTGGAGACCAATGCCGTGAGGCGCAGCTCTGTTGGATTTGGGAATGCACATCCACAGGACTTCAGGGCCTGTTCAGAGGTTCGAGGTTCGGGGCATGTTTGGTGCTTTTTCTTCCTCGCTGTTTGGGTGAGAGGCGATCTAAGATTGTTTCATGCGTCATGCGGCCAATCTTCTGTCCTGCGCTGCGCATGCTGGCAATAACTTACCAGCGAGGTTTTCAATATATATTCAAATGCAGCCCGCACAATCCACATTTGCCCAAGAGAACGGCCAGAAGCAATCGGGCGAACGCTGCAGGTCCGGGTGGCACGGGCCAGCTGTAACTGAAATACCAGCAAGGAGCTCAGAAAGTTCACGGCTTTGGAAATCCATACCCGGGTTCTTCCGTGCGGAATTTGGTGCTCAGAGTGGAAGGGGTCACCATTTTGAACGCACCGTTGATGAACGGTCGAATTACTATAGGCTATATATACGCATATATATATATATATCATAAATAAGTGTGTATGTGCGTACATAGATATATATATATACATATATAGATATATATATATATATACATATACACATAGTATACATATAAATATAATTCATAGGATTCGATAGCGGATATGCTGGAAACCCAATATCGAGTGTTCTTCGAGGGCAGAAGGCTGCTGAACTCCGAGCTCAGGCTGGCCTGCGCTTGGCAGTGGACAAGGAAGGAGGCTGGGCATTATGTAAAATATGTATATAAATGATAAATGCTGCCTGTCACTCAAGATAGTGTAGGTCAAGGTGTGTTAATCACTCGTGATTCATGTGTCAAGGTCCATCAGCCTCCCTTTGTGAAATTTTGGCAAGTATGCAAGAGATGACCATGATGACCTCAATATCACCGATCAATATCATCCAATAAAATATTGCCTCATAATATATCTTAATCATATGTATGTGTTTCCTTTAATATTCCTTCTCAAGCTTGTTTGATTTGATTTGGTGCGAGCGATTACGTCTCGGCAGGTCCGGCTTTGGTCCTAGATGGGAGGCACTGAGGGGAGATCCACTAAGTCTTTTTGTACTAGTTTTATTTGTTTTAATGCTCTTACATAGCTCAGTCGGCGGCTACTTGATTAAGTAAGCGAGTTGCTTGAAGAAGTGCTCGCACAATTGATTTGGTTCTTAGATCTTTAGGGAAACTTTAGGAATAATATTTTGACCATGCTCACCAATAGACTCCTGAGTGACTACCGTATGTTCACTGTTGACTGTTCATCTCTTGCTTTATCAATGTTGGAATACCTTTACCAAGTTTAGGATAGCTTAGGTTGATAAAGCTGGACAGACTACCTCGTCAGGCCAGAGGACTTCTCTGCCGCCGGCCGCCGGCGGTGCCAACTCTGTGTGGAGATTGGACCAGAGGACGCACTGCGAAGCGTCACTTTGGAGCTTCAGGCTGAAGCTGTGTGGTCAGAGGATTCATTGGTAGAGTTACAGTAAATACTGTATACAGTCTGGATGAGGCAGAGACAATGCTCCAAGTTTATCATCGCTTTATTCGGGCCTTGAGATTTTTGCTCTTCTTGGACAGGACATGTTTTGTAACCATGCAGCTCCACTTTGCTTTGGATGATGTTGATATGTATGTATATTTATTTATATATCAGACATGGCTAGGCGGCTAAACCTTTGAGCCTGTAGGCTCTCACTGGGTCCCGGCGTTTGCTCCGCTCCTTGCTTCTAGCAGCCCTGGGTCCATTGGGAGATACCGCCGTGACTTGGAATTGGATTTGGACATAGCTGAGAATTGCTTGGACCCTTGCTGGCGTCCCACTCTGGCAGGCAGCGTTTTTGTCGTGCGTTGATTGTTTTTGACCAATCGGCCTTCTTCAATTTGGCTGGCTTGCCAGCCAAGAACTTTTGTTAAGTAGCATTGGATTCCCGATTTTGTCGCTTCTCCAATTTGATGGAAGTAAACTGCAACATGACGCACCAACAATGGGATGTGTGATCGAAGGGTCTTGGAGTTTATGAAGCCTTTATTGGTAGCTGCAAGGGCAGCGTGAGCACACATGTCTCACTTCGCTTTGCCACCAAGGTTGTTGCATACCACATTCATTTTGGGCCAAGGTGCCATGCATGATGCATCAACTTTGCAAACATTGGGCAGAAATGGTTCTACCTTTGGAGAATCCAATGGGACACTTAGGGCTGTACGTCAAGCAGCTAGCGTCATCAGTCGCTTTCCATGGCCAGGTGCTCCTTGGCCCTGCTGTGCAGCTTCGAAGCGCGGCGACATGTCCTCCAAGTGCGACAGGTTAAGGCTCCTCAGCTTAAAAGGAGAGGGCCAAGAGCGCACTTTGTTATGGGGGGCAAAAAGTCCTCACAAGATCTTGACAAGTAAATAATGGAGCATGTTCGGATGATGCAACGTAAGAGCCAGGATGACCCCTCCTCAAATGGGTTGATGATGCCTGTGCCATCCAGTCAGGCCAGACCTACAATGCCGCTGAGCTTGGAGGTGACACAGGAAGATACCGCAAAGGAGGAGCAGAACCGAAGGCTTCGGGCACCATGGCGCACCACTCACAGGTCCCCAAGAGGTCCCCGCTCGGGCGGATTCGCTCACTGCCTCGGTTGGCCAGGCTTTCCGACGCTCTACTTCAACTCCAAGCGGATAAGCCTTCATGGAGGCCGCCAAAGAAGCCACGTCCTGCTTCGGCCTCACCTGCTCACAAGAGGCCAGGAATGGGTGGTCAACGGTTAACGCCAGAGGACATCCTGAGCATCAGGATGTAAATTGACATAGATTAACAGAGTCTTCAAACAGATGATCCACTTCATACATATGCCACTTCCAACTTGCGTGGGTGTTTTAAGCCGTACTAATTATTCTTGCAACATCCAAGAGGTTCTAAAAGTTTGGACATGGAGGATCATGGAGGGAAAAGGGTGCGGCATGGAGGACACGGGGAACTGGAGACTTCCCAAGTCGCCAAAGGGGTATGCACACCACCGCGCTGTGTAGGTCTCCAAAGATGTCGCACCCGTTCCTGGAGTCGGGGATTCCCAGGCGCTGAAGTCAAGCTCCTAAGAGACTGAGTCATGGACGCGCATGAACATCTAGATCCCTCACCGCAACTGTGTTGGCACCCTTCGAAGAGCCATTGAGAGCAGCTTATGATATGACAACATGAGGGGCTTCCATACTCACAAATCACAAATCTATACAAATCTCGCAAGAACGCTCCCTATTAATACACCCTTAAAGGGCTGATATATCTGTAGGGTTTGGATGGGTTTTGGACCGATTTGTCCACTGTTCGGAATAATCGAACAGTATTTGCAAATATCTATAGAAACAGCAATTTCTGAAGAGAGCGCGCATCTTTCATGCCAAAGCGAGCAGCAGCTTGGGTTCAAAGCGACCAAGCCGCATGGCTTGGTCCCCACGCCTTCGGGATGGCACCTCTGAGATCTCTGCGCTAGGGCGCCAAAGCCGTTGGGAGGCGAGTGCGGTTGTGGCGGTTTTGTCTCGCCTCTGTGACAAGATCACAGGAAAATGGCTTGGATTTGAGTGACTATAAGTATCTATAAGTTGTTTTAGGATTTCTCTTGATTTTTGCTTGTCCCTGCTATTTTGTGCAGCAGTTGGAGGTGTGGTGAGTAACAAGGACATGCAAGGACCTTCATGGAGACTCAACTGTTTCCCAAACATTGTGATCACCCTAAAAGCCTTCTTACGGCAGGGGCCAAGGCTGGGTTTGATCGAGGGTGCTCACGGGCGGCGGCGGGGCGGCTACTAATTCACTGCTATTTACGCTATTGTGTCTAATAGCTTCTTGTTACTACTAGTAAGGCACTTGTTACTACTAGTAAGGCACTTGTTACTACTAGTAAGGCACTTGTTACTAGTAGTAAGGCACTTGTTACTACTAGTAAGGCACTTGTTACTAGTAGTAAGGCACTTGTTACTAGTAGTAAGGCACTTGTTACTAGTAGCTTCTTGTTACTATTTATGCTACATTCATGTCTCGAGATCTTGGAGGTGCATTTCCACTGCACAGGCTCACGTAAGCTATGTCTTGCTGGCGGGTGCTTTTCTCGACCGCATTTTCGGACTTGGTGGTTGCTTTTCGTGGGCGGCAGGCACAATCGAATCCTCGTGTTTGGGTGGTCTCCAGCCGACCTCTCGTGGCAAGTGCCCGAGATCGGAGCCTTGATACTTTGATGTGCAGGCAGACTTCGTGGCAGGCGCAGCGCTTTGGACTTGGTGGTCGCGTTTGGTGTGGTCTGATTTCGTGGCTGGTGCAGTGTGGCGTGAACTTTAGACATGTGGGTGAATTTGGGCGAAGTCTCACACGAGACTTCGCGGAATGCGCAGCGATGAGTGAACCACTCATATGTGTGCTCTTCTGGACTCCTGTGTGCGTGCTCTCACGCCTTGCCCGCAGGAGTGCGCTCATGCGCGTGCTCTAGAGTGCAGAAGTTGGCTTAGTCACAGTGGTGTTTTTTCTACTCAACCCTGTTTGGGGCCTTTTGCCAGGATAGTTTGCATCCCCACCCCCCCTAAACCAAAATCATTTGTATAAAAGTTCAATTGTAACTTGAAGACCCCCAGGTACCTACGCAGCTCGATATATAATCTCAATAAATGTAAGTTACGTCTTCAACTGCTGCAATTTGTCGCGATAATTTTGCATAGAGCGTGATCAGCGCACACTGACAAGTCACATTTCGTTAATGAAAGACACATGCACGATCCTGCAAAACAATCTTTCCTTGTGTGCATCTCCAAACGCCGGCCCCAGTACCACAAAGTAGGTTTTGAAGTGTTGGAACATTGTGAAGGTTAATGTGACTCAACACAGCGGGGCACAACCCAGCACATTGGTGTGCAAAATTGTGCAAAATTGAAGTGAGGGCATTGGGTTTCATTGGGATGAATGATGGGAGGGTTGGGTTTGCCTGATGCTGATGTCATGTTGTGCCAGGCCGCTATCGCAAAGTGTGTGGAGTTGTACAATGAGGAGTTGCAGCCAGGAATTGTTACGCTTCTTGGCATGGTTGGGTGATTCAAAATCAGACTCTCAGCCTTGAATCAATCCGTCCTGCATGGTTTGGCCGACAGATTTTTCTAAAAAGATGTCATGTCCAGACCAATTTCTCTTCAGTAGACCTCGAAGCACCAAATATTTCAAGGGCAACAACTGGCTTTAAGACAGTTGAGCGGAGTAATTCACAAGTTCACATGATTCATGTGCGGATGGGCTAGCGATTAAGGTACAACTCACTACTCAGTGCTTTGGATAAGGCCGAAGCGACCTGCCGTTGTCACACCCAATGTTTTCATAGTTTCGCTGGCGCCAAACAATCTCTTGTATGCTGGCGATCTGAAGGACAACCACTGAAATCTTAAGTCTCGGGTTTTGTTCGAATTCCAATAGCCTGAGCCCCTGCGGCGTTTCTGTTCTGCAAATGTGCTAGGAAGTCTTCGACTCATAGATTTCACAGGGATCCGACTCTTTGCGCGCAAGGCCTCCCAAAGTGTCAAAGCTTTGCACCTGCTGCAGCTGCTGCGATCAGACAGCGTAACTCTGCAGCCCGACATTGTTAGCTTTTGCAGTGTGGCCTCTGCATCAAGTCGAGGCCGTGATTGGTGGTCAATGGTTGGGTTGAAAGTATTGTGTTTGTTCGGGCACCACCACTTCTGATGTTTGTTTATTCTTCCGGTATGGAACGACAACAGCGGGCAATGTACAAAAGCATGGGCAGGTAGACCCTTTCGAACATGGCACACTTGTGCAAGGAGAGAATCGGTGCCGTTTGTGCGTGCACGGGATCTCATTGTGCTGTCTTTCACCATGCACGAATGTCGTAACTGGTGCAAGAACTGTAGCAAACTACAACATCTCACGGTGATATTGCATCTCAATTGGCAGGTCAGGATTGGCCGCAGTCCCTTCACTTGCTTTGGGTGGCCAAGTGTGAGGGGCTAGAGCCCAATACCTTCACAGGACGTGCATGGCAGGGCTGAAAAAACCGGGCAATGTGGCAGGAACTTAAATCACTCGTCAATGACATGAGAAGACTCGCAGTATCTCGAAGTTTTCTCCAGCTTTTGAAGATTCTCTTAACGATCTTAAAGGCGTCATTTAGCATACCAATTCAAGAGTAGTGCCTCTATTTGCCCTTCTAAGTGAGTGCAGGAAATGCAGCCATCACCGCTTTGGAGCGGGGTGGGCAGTGGCATTTGGCCATAGAATCCTTGATCAAGGCCGGAAGAAGCCAGAGGTGAGGTGCTTTCAGCATTTGGCTGGTCATGATGTATAACAATTTGTTTAAAACGCTCCCAGATGAGCCTGTCGAAGTCGTAGTGCTGCTTGCGAAGTGTAATCATTAGATTGCAGGGTTTCTCAACAGTTGTGCTGCTGTGCTACCGAGGCCCTTGAGCACGGCCCTTGTCCAGACCGGATCACCTTCAACACTGCTGGGGACTTGGCTCCATTGCTACCGCACACTTTGACAGCGATCTGGAGAAGCTACGATGGTCAAAGAAGACTGCTGTGAAATGCTGTGAAATCAGCCTTGAGCTTGGAAGATTGGAGGATTAATGTATGAACTGCCATGAACTCTCAACACCCTGTTCCTCCTTTCGCTGCTGCGCAGCTGGGAATTGGTAAACCCCGTGTCAGCTACACATGTGATGATGGGCTGGCCTGGTGTAGATGGCTCTTTCGCAGCCCTGTTTGCAGGTTATAACGGCGTTGGGCCGCAGTAGTCGTTGGGAAGAAGCTGTTGCAATGCTGGAGGACGGTCGCAAGCCGGGCTAGCTTTGACTGGACATGATCGTTGCCATTGTTAGACTGTTATGTTATGCTGTGGAGAGTTGCCCTGTCGTTGAGCCCAGGAGCTCGAAAAGCACAAGCTTGAGCCAAACACCGTGAGTTTCAACTCTGCCACTGCCGCATGTCATGCCCCTAGAACAAAGCGGGAGGACCGGCAGAGCAATGAACTGGGAAGTTACCGCTGTTCGGTGCAGATGTTTGAGAGGACTAAAAGCAGATGCCGGTGATGACAACCACCCCGCAGCAGTGATTTTCCTTTCGCCCAAAACAACACAAGATACATGCTGCAAAAGTACCTGTCAAGGGTGTTGGGATTGGCATGCATTGGCTTCTATATGCTTGTATGATCTTGTATGACTTCCTTGCCTACTTTGACTTGCCGAGTGCCTCTTTGCTGAAACGGGATTCCCCTGAGGTGCAGGTGGCTCCAGTGATAGCTGTCAAGCCTGGAAAGTGGGATTCCATCTACTCAGGAGCGGCACTGAAGACTTGCATAAATACCTAAGGCAATGCTATGCTGCGTGTCATGTTTCTGTTTGGTACTCCCTGCTTGAAACCAAGATCTAGTCTGTTCTTGACAGCCGTCTTTTTTTGCTTGACGGTGGCTCACCATTCAGGAGAGGCTCCAGCCAGATTGCATCGTTTCCAGAAGTTCAGGCGTGCTCGTCTGCCTTGAGTGCTTGTGCACGCGCTGGCTGCTGGCAGCAAGCTTTGCAGACCTTTTCGGTGATGCGCAGCTTGCTTTACAAGAGCAGTTCCTAACTTCCTGAATCTAAGAGATTGAAGTTAGCCAGATGGAATGTGATTTTGATACGCTTATAATCTTAGAATTATAGTAAAGATTTAGGGGGCTAGCGCCCACGGCTGCTGACCCCAGGGAGAGGATCGGAAGGAACACGTTTTTCATGTTAACCAAGCCACAGCACCACTGACTGTTGTGGGCATTTCATTCCCTGACTGCAACTAAAGCTGATAATGTAGTATTGGTTGGTTGTGGATCCCTTAGAGACAAAGCAACAAGAAAGGCCTCAAAGGCAAGCAAACCCAAGGGAAAGAGGAAACAACATTGCCTACAGAAATATACATGTCCTGGCCTAGTTCAGTTCACGCTGGAGTCACAGTCTTGGAAGAGCAATAGAAGTGTTAGAAGATCACAGGGGGGGTTCCGTTGACGCTTGGTTCGCTTCGCTTTAGAACCTGCACTACATATACCTCCCCGCCTTCAGAGAGTTCAACGTTTACATCCACCTGTGCCAAGTGTGTGTGTGTGTGTGTCACTTACCACCTAGGAGAGTACCTAGGAGCTTAGATTCAAAACGCAAACTCAAAGAAGGACGTGAAGCCAGCAGTTTGAGGAGTTTGGCTGTTTTTGTTTAAATAAGACCACATCACATTGACATATATAATATCTCAAAAAAACGTGGGCCAGAGGCTTCAATTTGTCCTACCCAGACGTCCCAAACTGCTGTGCTGGTCCGTCCTGAGTCACTTTTGAAGCCGGAACATTCCGTTTCAACTTCAACTAGCGTGTGTCTAATAAGCTTGCGTGTGTTTCCCGAAACGGATGACAACTTCACATAAATTAGTCTTAAATGTGTTTAATTAAATTATAGTATAATTGTTTATTTAGATGTATTTTATATTAGATTTTGGCGCACGTTAAATTTAGATAAATTTAGTCAACGATGGTCATAACGTTTAAGCTGTCCATGCTTACTGGGCGCAACACCTTGCAAAACAATTGGGTAGATCCTAGAAAAAAACGCTGTATAGCTAGTAATTACCCTACATTACATTCATTGGGCTGCAACTCGGCCCGTTTGTTTTTTTTGCATGCATGTGACATACTTTGCAATTTTGAGCCCGAACTCTGCCAGCAAGCCTGCCAGCCTGTCTTTCAGTGGTTGACCGTTGCCCATCCCAATGTCCAACAGGTCGCAGACCAGGTGGCAATGCCCCCCAATTTAGATACTCTCGTTGGACCGCCAACAACGCCGGCAAATGCCCCAGAGACCATGTAGGGTCACAGGTACAATTCCAGCCTAATGGTGGAATAGTGACTAGTGAGGTGTGCCTGGCAACAGATCACCAGAAGCAGCTTGACAAGGCCAATTGCAGAATGCTCCACACACAAAGCGATCGTCCTCTAGCTTTGATGAACTCAACTGTTTTGAATTTTGGTGGAGTCTTCATTCAATAATCTTAGCTCAATGCAACTCAGAATTGGCAGGATTTGGGAAGCTCACGCACAGAACTGGATGGGCAATGGTGATTTGTGGTGTAAAAAATGACTAAGAGGTAGAGAAACACCAAGCCAAACCCTTGGAAAACGGAAAGCCGAGATCCGAGACCCCCGCAAAAAGGCAACCTTCTCAATGACCTCAGTGGTAAGCAGGAGGTTTTTTGACCATTTCCGTCTCAGAATAAATCGGGTTTCACTTGCGATGTCTCCAGAGTGCCCTTTTCAGACGAGCCCACTTGAGGACATCATGGCCCGTTCCCAGATGTCGCAGCTTGTGGCGCTTTGCTGGATGCTTTCGACCAAGCTGGACTGTGGCCGTGGTCACTGTGGTTGCTGGACCCCTAGCCCAACAGAGCGCTGAAGATGGTTCGGGCATGCGGGCATATAAGTATATAACATATATAATGTATCTATATATATATAAGATCTATTCGACCTATTAAAGACAAGCAGTGCAGATAAAGGGCTCGCAATGGATTGCTTACATGCCACTGAAGTGAGATGGGGGTATATTCAACATTTTACAGGCAGGGGCCTAGAGTTCCGATGCTCGTTGAAGATTGTAGTTGCCCTTGGTGTTTTTTTTTGCGTTTGGCAATTTGTGTGGGTGTACGGTGTGGCATTGTATGCCGCATAGTTCTTTTTTACTCCGCCCCATCACAGACTAGGAGCAGATGTGGCGACCTTCTGGAGAAAAGAGTTTGCCGAGACCCGATGTTGCAGCCTTGACGTCTGCCATTAGCGCTTGCAGCATGCAAATACAGTGGGAAACCAGGCTCCAACAAAAATGAACATCGGTTTCCTCTGGTCTTTCCCAATTCCCGGTGGCAAAGGTCATGCAGTCCATTGCACTGAGGAGAAAGCACTTCATTTGCTTCAGAGCTCCAGGGCGAAGCTTGACTCACCGGCTCTGTACAACGCTGCAGCAGGAGCCTGTGAGCGAGGACTTCAAGTGGATATCCTTCTGGAGATCTTCAGGGTGATGATGGAGACGCACTTGGAAGCTGTTTCTTGGTCTTTATTGGGATTTCCTGTGCTGCACGCACGGGTAGGTAGATTCAGTGCAAGGGAACCAAAGCGTCAGGACGCGATTACCTACTTGGCACTGATCAGCACTTGTGGGAAGACTCAGCGCTGGAACGAAGCACTCTTGCATTTTCAGAGTGCCCTGCATTCTTCCATCGCTATGTCACAAAGCTTGATGAATTCTGCGACTCAGAAGAACATCAGACACTTTTCTTGACCCGCCCCAAGGTGGCGGCATTTCAGGCTTCGTTTGACAAAGACAAGTGGTTAAAGATATAAAAAAAGACGCCAAACCGTGTCTCAGGCCATCAGTGCCTGTGAAAAGGGTTCCTCCTGGTTGTCCGCAATCTCCCTATTGCATTTTGAGAAGCTTTTGATGACTCCTAACATTGTGTCCTCCAGCGCCGTGATCACTGCCTCCGCCGCAAACGCCCAGTGGCTGCCATCGATTCGTTTGCTTGATGATATGCGCCTCTCGTTTGGTAAATATTGGTGTGACTTAATCCGGCTAGGGCTAGGGCTAGGGTATGTTTTCGTTTGTCATGGAGCATCAGCTAATCAGTGGCATGATGTGCGGGGCATGATGTGCGGAACATGCATTTTTTAATCAATTTTAAATGTAAAAAAAGGCACTGTGAATGCCTAATAGGAATGGCCTCCAACCTACTAGCCATGGCTTGCAACCTACTCGCGATGGCCTCCACCTATATAATAGCAATGGCCTGTAACCGAAGAATGCCTGGGAATACTCTGCCAGAATGAGGTTTTTGGCAGCTTCGTCCTGACCTCGTCGCTTTGAACTCAATCTTGGACGCTGCAGAGGCTTCTGCCCAATGGCTGCTCGCAACACACTCCCTCATTATGATGAACACGCTGAGGCCCTGGAACAGCTCAAAATGGTAGATGGAGAGGGCATGGTTTCTCGCATGTTTTATGGATGCATTCGTTCAATTGCATGCTTTCGGCGATGCAGCGTGTATGCGCTGGTCCTAGTCCCTCCTTTGAGCGTCGCAATGTATCCAGGCTCCACACCGGCTGCATGAGCTTATCAGCAGCTATTGGATCGCATGAAGAAGCAGGGTGGCAGCTGCCAGGACAGAAGCATTGCATACGAGCGGTGGAATTGGCTCGGGGCGCTGTGACACGGTCAGTTAGGAACCACTGGGCAGTAACAAGATATAGAAAGTTCACCTAGAAAGGCCATGAAAATGCTGCATTATGCTGCCATCAATGTTGCGAGGATTTTGTTGGCACAGTGATGGGCTCAAGATGGCTCCGGGTTCTACCATCATATGGTCAAACAATCATCAAACGGGGTAAAGTAATACTCACATTGGGTGGAGAACCAAAAAGTGCGGAATTAGAACTTTGGTAAAATCAATCAAATCATGATAGGCAAAGCAGGACATGGTTGCCCGAAAGGACTCTTGCAGCGGCTGGAAACAGTGTATGTGGATGAGATCCGGCACAGCCAGGGCAACTCGCCTTCCTAAAGGAAGTCTCCAATTTGACAGTTGCGAAAAGTATGAGGGACTCAGCCAAATAGGTCGGTTCATGTTGATTCGCTTCATTCTGAGGTACGAACGAAGGAATGAGTAGCTTGTCACATTTGCTCGAAGCCGAAGAAATCCTTGGGAGCAACGATGTGACCTTCAGCTGCGGATCAGTGGGAAGTAACTTACCCCAACCCCCAACAGATCAATTTTCCAACATCCACGGCTCTCATTTCAAGCTTTCAAAGGCAAGATTCTATGAGACACCAAACAAGTTACCGTCAGAGTGTCCCTGTGCGATGGCTGTATCATGGTCAGACTTTGGAGAGGAAAGACAAATGAATACAAATGAAGTTTAATCGTTGTCCTGGCACATCAAGGATGAGCTGGAAGGGCCACCAGGCGCTGCATACCTTGCTTTGCCCGGCCTTGCGCCGTTTGATCCATCTCACTCGCGTTGGCCCGGGCAGCAGAAGCCAGCTGTGGGAGCCACTGCTGGAACGTCAGTTCAGCCTAGGTGGGCTGCATCAGTATCAGTTTGAAGCGAAGAAAGGACACTTTGATAAGTAGCACATCAACTGGCACCAAAACACCAGGTGCTGGGTACACTATGAGAGCTTTGCTGACCCTAGACTTTGCAGCTACAGTTTGGGACGGCGCCCTGCTCCCTCGGCGTGAGCTGGGTAGAGTGAACGAGGTGCCTTCAATGGTTTCTAACATTGAAATCATGTGACATTCCAAAAGCAAGCATTGGACTGATTGCCCAAAAAGGGGCCAGCTGCATGAAGTTTGTTGGAGTTTTCTAGGGCCTCTTGGATCTTGGAGCTGTACGGTACTGTATAAGTTTAAGGTTCAGCAGTTTAGCAAAGGATGCTTGTCGCAGGAGCCTGTTGCTGAATCCCTTCCTGGATTCCTGGCCATCAGCATGCAGAATCACCAGACATGTGGGCGAGTGATTGGATATGGTGGTGCGGAGTTGGGTGCATTGCGGCCCGTTTTTGTGCAGCACGACCGGTCCAGGCAGCTTGGAGACCTGGGATGTAGGGCTACCCTCCGCCTGATTATATTTTTGAAGTGGAAACGGAGCCCTCGAAAGACTGCATTCCTCTACAGAAGGGGTGGGGGTGGTTTCCACTTCCATGTTAGTGAGTTGGAGTGCAAATGTTGTCCCAAGAATGGACATGATTGTGTGACGTTGTAGGGGGGAAAGAATGACAGAGCATTCTTCACGCCAAGCGAGCAAGCGAGCGAGCGAGCGAGCTAGAGAGAGAGAGAGAGTGTGTGTGGCTTTCTTTCGAGGCATGCAGAGCGTTTAGCTTTGCTGAGTGTCATCGCCTGCCTTGGCGCTCCCTGACTGGGTGCACTCCGAATGGCGCTACTGCCCATGTGCATCCATGTGCATCATCAGCGAGAGCATGTGGAGATCCTTCTCTCAAGCATGAGGAGCTGTTTGTGAAGACTTTCTTGTCATCGTGAGCAGTTCCTGCCGCGTTGGTTCTGATATGCTGTTGCGGAGCGCTGCTTCCAGCCGTTGCTTCAGGAGTTGCCATTCTGGAGGAAGAGAGGCATGACCATGCTATGAATTGCAGTGCTGAATACATCTGAATACGCACTCCATGTTTTACACTTGAAGTTTGGGTGAGGTATACTGTTCACGAAAAGAATGAAAGAGAAATATATAGGTCCATAGGTGATACGTAGGTGTAATTATTGTGAAATCAGAGAATTGCAGGGAGCAAAGATACTCGCTAACGGATGGTGCCGCCATCATGGGGGAAGTCTTGGTCACCAAGCTGGCCTGATTTTTGTGGAGAAGTCAGCTGCAGCGACTTGACTGCAGAATATGATGAACATGAGTGAATATGTTACCGTTATATAATTATGTCAATTTTGTGATGTGGATTTGATGTGCTTTTGTTCCCGGCTGTGCAGGGCTGGCAAGCCAGATCCTGCTGCTTGCGAGCAAAAGTGTCTCGAGCGTGCAACGCCTTGAGGAACGTTCATGGCTCATCGGAGTCAATCTTTTGTCAGACACATGTTCTAACTTGAAAGGACAAGCTCACCTTCCTGTGTCCTCACGGCTCAGATCTCAAAAAGGATGGGAGGTGTATGTCCCGTTGTGAATGCCTTCTCGACATGGGATTGACCAGTTTGTCGGGGGCCCACCCGTCGTCGAGCTCACCTCGGCAGATCAGCGCTTTCCTGCGACGTTTGTCGAAGTCAGGGCAACACCTGGCCGCTTGGCGCTCACTGACGAGTTGGCAGAAGTTGGGAGCACCTTGGCAGCTGTCTTGATTCAAGCAGCACTTCGCAACAAGCGCATGGCCCATGGCAAAAGTATATAGAAAAATAATTAAAAGTACGCAACAGTCATAGCCTTTGCAAAACCCTGGCATTTGGAGCAGCCATTTGCATTTAGGTGGAGATGAACCAGATCCATCACAACATTGTGCTGAGTGCCTCAGCGAAGGCCTCTGATTGGTTGCTGGCACTTCACATTTTCGGCGTTATGCAGCAGTACATGTGCCCCGATCTCATCAGCCATTGCGGCGCCATGGAGGCATGTTCCAAAGCCAGCCTTTGGCAGGCCTCTCTTCAATTGTTCCTTGCCTACACTATATATAAGTAGAAATGGTGACAGCAGGTTCCATCAGAACAATCAGAAAGGCTCAACTTGGCTCGGCTGATAAATGAGTTCCAGTACTGAAGTGGGAACAAATCTGAACTACTACGGCGTAAAGTTTGGGACAGCTGTGAGACGGCTACTAGGTACTAGCGTTAAGTCGACTCAGCTTGTGTAACGTCGACCCGAAACCGTGTGCCCTTGCAGAACTGCACTCCACAGGGATGTCTAAGCATAGATTGTATTGATCTATAACACATGTTTTGTGTTGTGCCCATGGTGTGCCTGATTGTCGCTTGACTTGTTTGTATTTGTGAATCTGTTCTTTGGGGGAGGGCAGCTTCCACAGGGGTGAAGGGTCAAGGATTTGTGACAGTTTTGATGCAGAGCTCCTTGGGCCCTTCTGTGTGGGTTGACCGTAGGAAGCTGTAGGACGACTGTAGGAGTCGTGCTCGCACGAACCTCGCGCGGGGTCGCGCGGGGCTCGCGCAGAGGCCTATAGTCACTTGTGTGTGTGCGCGCATACAACCTATTCTCTAAGTTGTGCATTGGTGTGAATGGTGCTGTGCCATTGAGATTTGGGCTTGAAACATCTAGAAAGCAAGGCCAAATGCCAGCCATAACACAGTGTGCGCACACTTTTCCTTGAACAAACCACTTTCCTGCTGTGCTCATTTTTCAAGTTTGCCCAGTGTGCTGTAACCAAAATGAGTCGACTTCACGCGAGTGGGTTGGCTTCTCGCTGAAACCTTGTGCCCACACAGTGAGTTGACTTCACGCGACGTGGGTTGACTTAAGCACGCCGCTTGTAGGACTCTAAAGAGAGACAGGGAAGGATGAGAATGCGACAAGCCTTGTAGGTGATGCTGGTTGAGGTTCGGTGAAACATTTTTCAGACCCAGTTTGCTCGAAACCTCCGCTTTTGCTTTCGCAGCTGCTCCTACTGGGTGAGTACGCCCTTTGATTTCACATGCGCGGTCCAAGCCACTCCAGTTGTGCAAAATACTGATGATTCTAGGATGATTGTGTTTCGCGTTGGTTTGCGGCGCGCATGGCCTGAGATCCTTGAGCCGCCCCTTCCTGTGCCGAGGTTGAGCTCGGCACAACATGCGAAACTGACTCCGGACGTGGTCATGGTCAGTGCAGGAATTGACGCCTGTGATGCTGGAAGGAATTGGCAAGGAGCTGTGCATTTTCTGGAATTAATGAAAGCGTGGGCAGTGTGCCATTCCTGCGATTAGCAAGCAAGGGAATAGCGCACATGACTTGTGCACCAGGTGGGTGCTGTTCGTGTGCTCTAAATCGCAACCTTCTCGCGTTTAAGGCCACACTTCCGGCATTTCCCCGATCTTGTTGCATACCTCCAGTTGTGCTTGAAATGGTTTCAACTTTGATTGCTTGAGGCGCCCAAACCCGATCACTTACACCAACCTTTTGAGTGCCTGTGGTTCCTGCGGCCAGTGGCCGGTGGCATTGGCACTCATCTCCACCATGACTTCACCCAACACAGTCAGCTGTGGTGCGGGCATCAGCAGCTTGGGATCTCAGTGGCAGGTCGCCATCCAACTGATGAAGTGGATGCAAGGCACGACACTGGGTGTCGGATGGATGGCATTGGGTGTCCGTTGCGGGCATGTTCATGTTCTTTCTCGTTCCATGTGAATCGCTTTGTGTTTGGAAGATTAATCCAATGAGTCAATAAGAGTCTTGGGAGATCTTGGGAGTCTTGGGTGCTGTCCTGGAAGCCGAACAGATTGTTTGGCAAGCATTATCACATTGTTATGTTCAGGTCTCCATGTGCAGCAGAACACTGCCACCTACAACAGCCTTATAAAGGCGCGACCTGAGAAGTGTAAAGCGGACAACCCACCGTTCAAAGAAGCTAAGCAAGTCAACTTGATTGTGACTTTCGAACCGAAGACTGGAGATATAGCTCTCATCTTTCTGGATCTGGGTTTAGGATATGTTTGGATGTTTCCGGGTAAGCGTTGATATAGTGTTTGTCGCCTGTTTCTCGGTCAATGTGGCCTGTGTTGGGCGCTTGGACTGCCAGGTTTGTGGCGCTGGTGGCGCTTTGGAAGTGGGGCTAAACCTTCTTGACGACATGCGAGCCGAGAAGGTTTTGCCCAACGCACTGACGCCGCCAGACGCGCGTTTGGACAAATCGCCTTTGGCAATTTACTGTAACTTGCAGGCCAACTACTGCAAGCAATTATCTACATATATCTAGCGCCAAATGAATGACAATGATACCGATACCTTCCAGGTACCAGGTTGCCAGGAGCTGATGAATGTAGCCTACGTCCGACTTGCAAGGCCCAGAACACTTCGATTGTAGAGAATATAGCAACTCTCACTTCCACTCACTTTTACGTCATGTCTTTCGATTGCATCTATATACTGTAGTAGAACATTAATGCAATGAGTATTGGCACCGACGATTGAAGTGTCATCAGCATACAACATCTCAGCAAAATGGATGCCATTACTGTAATTGGTTGCTGTTGTTTGGGGGTGTTCAGTTCCTGTTTCAAATCGGCAAACAATGCTCCCATAACCACCCAGAAAATATATGGGGATAGTGGGCAGCCTTGACGGATCTGTGTATAGAAGCTTTGGATTAGACCGATTCCACGGTTGGGGACCTTGAGTCGGAACAAGGTTTAAGTGTTGTAGTCATCTTATTTTGGAACACTTTATCAAAGGCCTGTTCCCAATCAAGAATAATGAGGGTCCTGGCACTGCTCGACCTTTCAGAAAGGTCTTGGATTCGTCTTGCTAAGAAAATAGCCATCACTCTTCTATGACAGATGAGAATTGCACAGTATGCACAGTTGCTCTTTTGCTTGGATTTTTAATTCTCAACTGAGTCTTGATTTTGCTTCCTCAGGTTTACTTCTTTGATGTCAGCAGTTGGCAGTTCACAGGAATGGATGCGTGCCATGGACTTGGCCAAACTGATGCAGTCAAGCAAGGTATCCATCAATCTTATCACTCGGACCCTTGTTTAGAGTTGTTTGCAGTCCACTGCAGGGACGAAACCACGGGATTTGCATATTCCCTGTCAATGCTTTCTACCAGCTATATAAGTCCTTCAAACGATTCCAAAGATTGAGCATAGACATACACGCACAGTACACAGTATATAACTATGTACAAGTCTATACAGCAATACAATACTATAGTTGTCTCCTGCAAGGCCTTTGCCTACCTAAGGAACAGCCTTATCAATGCCCTGTCTCAGGGCTCAGCATGGCAAACGGCTTTGACCATTCTGGTGCAAACGCTGAGCAGTTGCCAGGCCACAGATTCTGCCAGCTTTCATGCAGTAATTCGAGCAGCTGATGTCGCTTCGAAATGGCCGCTGGCTCTGGTGGTTTTGGCTGAAATGCCAAAGCGTCACATTGAGGGCTGCTTGGTTTGCTGCAGTTCCGCAATGCGAGCCTGCAGGAGCGAATGGCAGGCAGCCCAGGGGGGTCAAAAAATATGGCTCTGGGTCAAAACCAGGATATATTCGTTGGTTGACGTACTTGGAAGGTCAAGCTACATGACATGGTGTTGGGGCTCCAGGTTTTGGTTGTGACCCATCCCCATATCTATCACGCAGACGTATCAATCAATATCAATTCCCCTGTATTGAAAAACAAGAGTTCTTCCTCGGACCTTGTTCAACATGTGTTTCATTTTTTGTTAAAATTACGTCAACGTATAGCTCACAGTAGAGGAACATTAAAATCATTTACTGTAACATCTATTCACGCTGGCAGGTGGTCGTGGCGTTGCTGGCCTCGGTGTTTTCATTGCAACTGCTTCCAGACGCAACTGCCTACACGGCAGCAGTGACTGCATGTGGTCAGGCCAGTCATTGGCAAGCAGCCTTGGATACTTGGGTGGGTGCTTTGATATTGGTGTGGTAGGTGTTTCTTTGCTTTCCTCCACCTTGTCATCTCCCGATCGGTGGATGGACTGAGTCCGTAGAGCTTGATAAAACTTTTCAGCAAATGCTTAGTCATAGTCAGCCTGCCATTCGTCTCAGGACATTTTTGCAGGGATTCCAAACAAGGATGTCAATGCGATCACCTACAGCGCTTTAACTGGGGCACTTTCTACAGCTGGCGTGTGGGAGCTAGTTTCTGCGTCGGTACGGGATATGATAGCACGAGACATTAGGAGCTTCTCAGAGCCACATGGCCGCAACCGACATGGCAGCAACGGTTTGCTATGAGTTGCTTGTGGGCCGTTGGTGATGGTTGATGTTGCTAAGGTCGAAGTATGACCATACGGTACAAGCCGGGAGCTCTTTGGACTGCTTCAAGCACTCTATTCTGGTGATGTTCCTTCAAGACTTTTGTGCGAATGCAGATCCATTGCTTTTCGTGGATACGCATGCTGGTCGAGGTTTGTATGATCTGAGCGTGGAAGGCCAGTATGGTGTTGCATTTCAGCAAAAAGTGCAATGCTCATTGTAAAGCAACCTTTGGTTTTTGATCATTCCTGGCAGCATGTGTGTGAGCAGGCGTCCTTTGTGGGTAGGTTTCCTTTTCCAAGACCATTGTAGCTAAACTCAAGGCGCACTTTGCACCCCTTAGCTTGGCCTTAGTCGTAATTACTCTTTACTGTGTATGTCGGGACTCGTTCAGGAAGGACCAGCACAAACTACGAGCTTGGGATTGGCAAGCTCTTGGCACTGAAAGCTGAAGCCCAGATGCTTGCCTATCAACAAGCAATATTTAGATAGTTTGAGATAGGCCTGACAACCAATGCCAATACCCAACACTTCAGCTTGTGGGTTTGTCTTGCTGAGGATGTTCCCGGCCTTAGACCAGTACATCTGCACTGTGAGAAGAAGTTTCAGCTCAAGTTCTGAAGCTTTTTTACCCGGGCTCAGCTGCACTTGCGGCGAGTTGGCTTCGGCCTCAAGATCTTGCGATGAGCCTTGACCATTCATGATTGCGTGAGGCGAATCTCCTGGTTCGATCAGAATGAAGAACGCAAAATGTAGTGATTCCGGTGATTCACCTGGCTTGATTCTACTTAAGAAGCCGTCTTTTTTTCCTGCTTTGGACTGCCAAGATGTTGGATTTGGCACTTAGGCTTTTCGAGATCTCAGACACCATGGCCTCTGACCTCACCCGGAACTTTCAGCGATTGAATCAGCGCACGCAGGTCCAGGTCCTTTGTCAGGACTCCTACACCACCTTGCTGGGTGCTCCTGTTCCACATCAGAGAAGTCTCGTTTTTATGGACCCTCCCTATGAGCCCTATGATTTGTTCCTTGCATGGAGCCTGTACTTGGTGAAACATTTGCTTGAGCAGTGGCGATCTTGCAGCATCATGTTTTGGTATCCTTGTTTGGACGCCCAGCAGACTGCTGGCCTCTATCAGCACGCTCTCAGCCTGGGCATCGAGATATTGGCTGCCGAGTTTCAAGTATCAACTGCTAATCAAGCAGGGCTCGAGAAGTCCGGACTATTTCTCATGAACCCACCGAATGAAAGCAAATACCGGCTGGAAGAGATGCTGTTAGAGCTAGCTACGAGGATGAGAGAAGAGCGGCCAGGAATTGTAGATGCAGCTGTTTTTTTGGCTCGGTGACATTTCACGAGAAAAAGACCGGTCTGCGAAGGTCTTTACATATGCCCTCATATATTTTTTGCCCGTGGCCTGCATACATACTTAAGTCAGGCAGTAAGCTACTACATACGGACGCAGGATAGCTCACGCTTCCTTGAACAAACACTCGCACTAAGGATGGTTCCTAGATTTATACTGTATATTAAACTTAACTTGCAACACTGCTTGGGCTGCAAGGATTGCTTGCGCACCGATGACGGGGACAGATGGGATGCTGGGTTTCCATTTGTTCCTTCCATACTGCGTTTTGCCGAGGCGGGGGCCTCACCATTGGTTGACGGAGAAGTTGCCAGTCACGGAGCTCAGAAAAGCTGGGTGTCAGCCCATGGCCATCACGGTCCTAGTGGGGCTAGTGGTCCTAGTGGTGAATCAAGGTGATCAAGAGAAAATCGTGGCCGCGGTCGTAGCAAATCATAGCTAGGCCATGCCACTCCCATTTCCAACTGGGACCTTAGCCTAGCCTGGAGGTTCACAAGAAGACGGGGCACATTTGGACGCAGGCAAGACAGGGACATACGGATATATAGAGCAATTTGTGGAGCATACACAATTTGAAGACAGCATCATGCAGTGATAACGTGCTTTTGGGCCTTCGAATTGAATCGAATGATCAACTTTGTGACTTTGCAAGGAGATGGGCCGACAACAACCAGCGCAGACCTTATAGATGCATATAGATTCCTCACAAGACCAGAACAGGATTGACCGGCTGCTACTGTAGGCTGTGCCCTTGTGACAGGAGTGCTTTTAGATGCTTTTAAGTTTGCTGAGGTCTCAGCTACGCCGAGGCAACATGCGAGAGAAGCTCTTACCAGAAAGGATCCACAAAGTGACCATGCAAAGCTGGCCGCATATATCAACATTTGATATATATATATATATACCTATGTATTCCTATTTATTCATTTATTGTTATTAGATTTACTTAACTTCTATTTAGATAGATATACCCTTTGCCCAGAAGATGCCACAACATACTACAACCACAGATTCCACGCCCTCAATCACAAGAATCATCAAGAACCCATACGACTGCAGCTCAATGGGCCATTGTTGCAGGCGTGCCAGGAGCAAGAAGGATGCGCCTGGCCAGGAGCTGATAAAGCCTTTCTTGCATAGCGCGATTCCATTTTCTGGGGCTTGGTCACTTGCTGTTGGCCCAGCCTCCTACCAGCAAGTCTGGCGCGACTTATCTTCAGGAAAGACACATTGCTGGATTTGCTTAATGTTCTTCCCTTTGTGGGCATTCACTCTGAGTGTGAGGTCCCTATCCTCGCCAGGTAGTTGCCCCAGTGTTTCCTAAGTTAGTGCTGCTTCGGGTCCAGCATTCGTTCATTTTTTGGGATCGGATAAGCATGCAGGTTCTGAGGATGTGGTATTTCCTTCCAAGGTGCGGTATCCCATTGGCTGGGATGAGAAAGCGGAGGCCAAAGATGGCCCGAAGTACCGCAGCGACTTTTTATGCAGGCCCACCCAGATGTGTTTGTGTTGACAAGCACCAGGACCGGCCGCTGATTGCCAGGCAAAAGGCAAAGATCTTCCACCTTCGGGAAGACATCGCCCGCTGTCCTGCCCTTGCAGTAGAGACACTGCGACGTTGCACGACACTTTCTCCATGCCTTGAAACCTGAACAGTCTGAATGCTGTATGTGTTGTGGAAATTCACCAAGTATATACAGTAGCAAGTTTGGATTCTGAATGTCATCCAATATTACTTGTGCAGCACCTTTTGCTCTTTTGGCTGTTTGGCCTTGCTTCACCCTGGTTTGGCCAGGTCGCGCTGCCAAAGAGCGGGTGGACCAGCGTTTGAATCAGATGCGGCGTGCCCTACGCAGTGCCCAAAAGGCAAGCCACACTTGCAATGTGCGGGACACAGGGGCAGCTCGAAAGGATGCTCGCACAGTCACTAATTACTGTAACAGGATCTAGTGAATCTAGTGAGATGTTGTGTCTAGTACAATTGAAAAGGCAAGGGGTGTCCGGGTGTCTTCAAATCGTTTGGACCACCTTCCACACTGGTGCAGGAATTGGAGCCCAAACACTCTCACTCGCGCAGTGAGAAGCAGTCAGGCTAGGGTGTTTTTGTATGATTGCCATGAAATGCAAGGTGGAGATTGAAGAACATGGCGTAGTGATGCGTAGTGGGGATTGGCGGATGTCTTTAGGATGGCATGGCAAGCATTAGTGCGACGAGAATGCCCGTGGGACGCAGGCATTTGTGCTTTATATATCGGCCTTGGGGTAGGCCAGGCTCATGGGGCAAACTGTTGGCTACACGCAGTACGAGCTGGATGCAGAACGCAGCAGGGAGCTAGCCAATTTTGAGAAGCAGCAGCCCATCCTGAAGAGCTTCCAGAAAAGGACGCAGATTCCTCACATTCACCTTCGGCTGTGCTCATCTGGGTACGTAGAGCTTTGCGGCCCAGATCTGGATGGGAACATCGAAGGCTTCTTGAAATGCACGTGGCTGGCCCAAGAGGCGGCCTTGGTGCCCAGAAGGGTGATGCCTACTGGAACTTGTTGCTGGAAGAGCAATGGAGAGGCCAACTTGCCGCGTGAGACCATGGACTACACATGTGACAAGCACTTTGTCTTGGGAAAGCAGTTGCCGTGTGGACAGGTCCAAGGCAATGGCATCTTCCAGGCTTGGAGGGACATATATATATATATGTACATATAATGATATAACAGATATATTACAATGATATAATGATATAGGCTTAAGATATTTCAGGGTTCGATTCGGATGCAACTTTTGTTCTTGTCATCCGCTTCGCTACCTGCATTATTCCGAACATTGATATTGTTTGGGGTGCAGTGGTGTTGACACGTTCTTCCGGCTATCGCGAGTATCAAACAGTTGTGTCTTGGCATGCTGGCATTGCCTTTTTGGGAGGCTATTCGTGGGCAAAATGAGAGCAACATTCCGAAGCGTGCACTTGAGCTGATCAACTTCATGAATGAATGCTCCTGTGAAGTGCTGTCCTGCAGCATTGAGAACCTCCACACGGGTGCCCAGGAGTCACAGCTTACGTTCCGATCACCTCACCAGAAGAACATCGTGGGCCCTTGCATCATGGTTGTAATGAAGCAGATGGGGTACATTGAACTTATTGGAAGCAACACTGAGGGCATCTTGGATGATTTGGCTGGGTACCTGCAAAACGACTTGAATTGCAAAGGCTTGGCGGCCGATGTTGCTTTCTGCGACCGCAGGTTTAAGGCATCCTTCTCATGTTCCAGCATCTCCAGTGCCAACTCTGGAGATAACAACATGGGGCAACGTGCTGCAGTCATCATCAACTTCATGGCTCAAACATGCAGATGGTCCTTGGTGGCGCATACTGAGTCAGATCTCATTGGCAGGTGTGGAACACGGCGACAGCGGAACCTACTCTTCCGCCAAGATTCATGGCTGGTCCAAAGAATCATTGTACTCTTTCCCTGGCAAAGCATGGAGGGGAAGGCCCCCCAAAATGTCACAACTTAATGTAATAGATCTTGGAGCTCGGTTCCAGTTCCAGTCCAGGATTCGCTTGGCTTTCATGACCACATAATAGTGGAGCTCAGAAATGTGGGGCGAATCTACTTGAATGGTGACCCAGAGGCTATATTGCAGGCAGGCGAGCACTTTGCAAGCCAGGGTTGTCAGCCCTGCAATCTGGAAAACCTGTGCGGTGCGCAGTACATTGCCCCAGCAGGCTTCAGGAACTTCAGGGTTTGGCTTGACATTTGCAGTTTTGACGCTTCCTGCAGCCAGCCGAACTCTCCGACAGTTTGCACGCTGAACGCGTGTTGTTGGCTAGCCGAGAATATACTCGTACCTAAATACCTACAAATACCATAGCACCACAATAGCACCTCAAATCGTCGGATCACCACACACCTGCCCTTGTATAATCTTGTATAGATTCCTTTGTTGCTTGGCCTGGAGGCTACTTTTTGGTGGATGAGGGCACCAGCAACCTGAGCAAGTGCAGTGTTGAGATCGCTGACTGGCTCAGTGGGAAGGGGTGGACTTTGCGCTCTTGTGGTGGCAACTTGCTGCAGTTTTGAGTCGATGATTTCCCAGTTCCAGCCCAGTTGCTGTTGTACATTCGAGTTGATTTGACGGTTGTACTTGACATATGTACACACTGATGGACGCATTTAATAGCATGGCATTGTGCCATTGACTAATTGAAGCAAGTGTGAAGTTGAGCGGGAGGCAGGGGAAGCGCCAGTTATATATATTGTAAAGTTAGTGAACCATGTGCATGACCTTTCACGACATGACAGACGGACGGACAGCCAAACGGTACGCCACATGCTCACTTACTGTGGTGGTTTGGCTCGAATCCTTTACCTAGGCCTTGAGCCTCCCGCGAGCCCCAAAAAGGTTCGTGTGTGCGCTCATTCCGCGCTTTGCACTGGTAGGCGGAGCCTAAGGTGCTCTGGGTCGGCGCGCTGCCATTGACTTTTCGCTTGCGGATTGTTTCTGGTGTCCCCGCCCTGGAGCTGGACAGGTGGTGAACCTTTGGAGTTGGTCGTACAGTACCCTTCATTGGTTGGTGGCAGTCTGAGGTGATTTTTGGCTCACTATTGTACCGGAATTGTCATTCTCGAGTACTTTTGTGAAGGCTGGACACTTCGGAAGTTGCTGAGGTAATTTGGTGCAAGTTTTGTTGGCTCGCAGTATCACCTTTTTGATTTTGCACGATTTCAAATTTTACAATGCAGTCAAATGGGCAATCATTGTATGTTGACCCGAAGTCCAACGTTGTGCATTATGACGGCAATCCAAAGTTGGCTGAAGAATATGAAGAGCGGGTATGGCTGGGTTTTCAAACTGTGATGAAGGAGGAGAAAGTGTCCTATGCAGCAAAACTCAAGAACGCATTGCATGGCCGTGCATGGACACTCTGTCACAGGAAACCAGAGATCGCAGCTCAGAAACTCCTTCAGCTGAGTGAATCGGACCCGAGCACAACGACAGGACCACGAGCAGCAGTACAACTGGTGGTAAAAGTTGTGAGGGATGCTTGTGAGAAGGTTGCTCCATTGCTCAAGACCCAGACCTTCGAAGACTACTTCTTTGAGAAAGGTCGAAGAAAGGCATCCGAAAGCATCCAAGACTACATCAGTCGCCGAGAGAATGAATATGAGAAGCTGACAAGTTTGACACAAGGTCATACAAAGTTGTCGACTGATTTGCAAGCCTTTTTCCTACTGAGGAATGCTGGTGTGAGCTCATCGCAACATCGTGCCATCCTGGGTCAGGCAGGGAATGAGTATGATTGGGACAAAATCGTTGAAGCTATGCTCATTCAATTGGACGGTGGTGATGACATCAGCAGCAACAAGGGTTGGAAAGGTGGTTTCAAGTCAAGACAACAAAGCAGCTACAATACAGGCGGCAAAAGAAGCGCATGGGCCTACCCAATTGAAGAGGAGTGGTCAAGCTATGATGGTGAGACTGAGGATGTGTACGCAGTTGATGACTGGTACTATGATGACGAAACTGCTGAAGAAGGAGTCCCCATCTATGAAGTCGAAAAAGACATCCATTTCGACATCGAGGAGATGGAACATGCCGTGGAGGTGATGGCAGTTGATGACCTCTCTCTGGAGGAATTGGACATCTTCGCTATGACTGCTCAGAAAATGGGTAAAGGTGCTTCAGAATATGCTCGCAAAAGACAAGCGGTCAGAGATGGAAAGGTCAACAGAGGATATCAACCTAGCACAGTTGGCCACAATCGAACAGCAATTGCATTGGATGGCAAGGTGACTTTCAACGCAGGACAGCTACAAGACAAGTTGCAGCAGATCAAGTCACGGACGCAGTGCTATGACTGTGGACAAAAGGGACACTGGCGTGGTGACAAGTCATGTCCAAAGAGCACGAGTTCATCATCAAGTTCAAAAGGCGGCAAGAAAGGCTCTGGAAAGAAAGGAGGCCGCAAGGGTGGTTTTCTCCAGAGGGCTGGAATGGCAGCAGCAATGCTCGCATCGGCATCAGGACAGCTGCTCGCATCATGCCAAGAAGCCCTGAACTGTTTGAACTTGTCGTGCATGGAGGAGTTCCGTGAGTTTGACATCGAGGATCAGATCCACAGCTGGCCCAAGTTCGAGACCTTTGAGGAGCTGCAGTCATTGTCGCAGGTGGACGCCTTCATGACAAATGAATCCGAGTTGGCAACAGTCCCACACAGTCTGACATTCATGGCAGGAGCCGGACGCGAGACAGTGCCGTCCGGAATGTGTGTTGTTGACACAGCTGCATTGATTGGTTGCGGTGGTGACCGAACATTGGACCGTTTCATTGGAAAGTTTGGAAGCGAGACAACTCTCCAGACATCCAACAAGGTTCTGAAAGGAGTCAATGCAGACGCACCAGTTCTTGTGCAGCATCAGCAGTGGATCGACATTCACATTGCCGGTCAGTAAGGTCGTGTGGCATTACATCGAATTCCCAATTCTGATGTTCCATTGTTGTTGGGCCTTCCACAACTCAAAGAGCTTGGTGCAGTCATCGATCTCACTGCAATGCCAAAGCCGACCATCCAGTTCACATCCATTGGTTCAGAGAAGGTGACCTTGGAGTATGGCAAAGGTGGTCATTTGCTCTTGGACATTGGACACAACAGTGAGAAGAGAAAAGACACTAGGCTGGCAGGTGAGACGGTTGAGGTGTTTCATCAGTTGAAGGCGAAGGACTACAACGTGGAGGCGATCAGGATCATGAAAGGGAAACTTCGAAAGAAAGTCCAACAGATGGCTGAACAGGCCAAAGAACATGGAAGAGCTCTGTGGAAAGAACTTCGAAAAGGAGCCATGAAGTGTGGGAGAAAGGTGCTTGTGAAGGAGCTGTACAGTGGAAAAGACGGTGGTGTGGTGACAATGCTGGCAAAAGACAATGATTTCGCATATGGTCGTCCCCGGGATTTGTTGCTGGGAGACAACTTCTTGAAGGAAGAAGACAGGCGCTTAGTGCTTGAGGAGATCAAAGTCGAGAAGCCCAAGCTGATCACCATGGGTTTCAACTGTGGCCCCTGGACACCGCTTAGCAATTTCTTGGACGAAGACAC